TAAGCTAATGTAGCAAAAATAATATAGCTCTCAAGGTTATAATGAGTGACATGCAAGTAAAAATAACAGACCGCCACGCTGGATGTCATTTCAGACACAAAAATAACCCTATGACCGGAAATCGACGTAGACTTCCGTTTGGACGCGCCCGTCTGAAACGTGATTGGTCAGTGGAAGAATGGTCACTTGAAGTCACATGTCTAAATAGTCACTTCCCGTTTTCAAGAAGGTAACTTCAAGAATGACTTTCAGTTAACCCAGCGAATCGTAAGGAAATAATGGCGTTTTTTACGAGCTGTATGACCCAACTATCAGCCGTGTTCCTATTATCCATCTACACCTTCCTCACGAATGCAGGTAAAAAAGCCTTATTCTGTATGATAACGCGGTGAATTGTTTATTAGCGTGATTGTCACATTATGGCGATTCTGGAATCGCGTCGAAGCTCGCTCGTTTCATTCTGATATTTTGCGATTTGTTTGGATGGAATGGTTGCCGTGGGCTTCGATCAACGCTTAGGCTCTATCGAGTGTCTCTTATATAAGACCTCAAATAAAGAATCTGCCAGAAAACATGATATTTGTATATTGTGACCGTGTAAAAGCTTTTAGTGGAATGTCATTGGCGTAGATGTCGATTGACTTAGCGGAGTTATCTTTGAAAATCTTGAATAAAACTGTCGCTTTGCAAGCTCTATATCTTGTATATTTTCTGCTTGAAGCTGGAATCATGTGTATTTTGTACAAAAACACAACATAAGCCAAGTCGTTTGACGTAAACGATCGAGCGGTCATTTTGCCAAAATATTTGGTTTGTCTCACGCTACAAGGGTGCTCATAGCTTTTTTAGTTGCTTGTGTCGCAATCTTTCTTTACTTCTTCGATGAAGTTTAATTTAGTGTGCGAAATCTTTTAGTTTCGTCAGCCAACCGTCAAGGACTTCGAAAATAAAAATAAATCGTGGAAGAAATATTGTGCCTATGGCGTTTGCTGGGCAAATCGCCAAGAAAATTACAGCGAGCCGATTATTTACCACTGAGACCATATGGAGCACGTAAACCGCTTTTGTTTTTTAATTGATTTTGAATGAACAACTTTTGTGTCGATAAACCGCGGGCTAGTCTGTGAATTAAGGAACCTCATGGCGCAAAGATATCGAAATTTTGCTTATCCGCGACTTCAAATTGTAGAAATTCCAAGAAAATGTCTGTTGATCTTACATGACACTGTACTGTTCACATGAAAATCAGGAAGTTAAGTAGATCATCGTCGCGATTGGTATTAGGCTTAGTGGATTATAAGAGAAATGGAGTAAGTTTTATTAGGTTTGTGATGTGCATATTTTTTTAGTTAAAAATGAAAGGAAAAAATGTCGAAATATAAGTGTGCATGTAGATTAAGTTCTCTTTTGTGACATACATAGAGCAGTAATCTTAATACAATCTTAATAAAATGTACAGAAAAATTGCCAATCGCTACTTAATCATTACATGTAGTATACCTAGTGTATTAAAATCGATCAAATGTTCCGTAATCAAACGCAACAAAACTTCAATCCCTGAACTGATCTTGATTGGGTTTGGGAATCCAACAACATCAAACTCACTTAAATTCCTCTAGCCAATCAAACTCAATCAGATGTTCAATAATCAAACCTTAGTGCAATCAAACACAATCGAAGTCTTGAAGTTTGATTGAGATCTATTACTGAATATCAATTGACTAAGCCAGGCATTCAAACCCAGTTTCAACATGTTTCTAAGTTAGTGTGGTCTTGAAATACAACAACCCAGGGGTACCCACGTTATTGAAATGTACTAAACTTGTTGATATCTGTGCGATTGTGTTTGATTGGCAAACAAATCGCAAAACAATCAAACCGATATGGAGTTTGATTGAGTTTGAATGGTTTTTGTTGTTCAGTTTGGTTCAGTTGATTTGGTTCAACTGCAATTCTACACTGGGGTTGATTGCATAAATTCTGATAAACGTTGTATGACGGAGTATGTTTTGATGTAACATTGAATCATTCTATAATTTTATATTTTACATGCACAAGGTCTTTTCTTTTGATCACTCTTGGATTGGGTCAAAAAGGTGTTACTCTGAACTGTGTTCATAATGTTTATTTAGTGTACTTGTTAAACTCTAATAGACAAACTACATGTATGTAAAATCAATTTTTCTTTCCCTCTCTCTTTTTTTGTCAGGCACACCAGCTTCCAGTGGAGGTAGGACTCTTATTACTTAGTAATGCGTTATTATGATTTATACATGTACATGTACATCAGTACATTATGTCATGTATGTCAACTTTCCTGGATCATCTGGGAATTTCTCAGATACATGCCAGATCTCTTGGTCTCCCATATATGAGTCACCAAATCTAAGGGCAGATAACAGGGCTCGAAATTAACTTTTTCGTTCGGGAGCCAGCTGGCGAGTAATGGAAAAATTTTGGTCGCCAGATCGTAAATTTTGGTTGCCAACTTATTTTATATATTTATATATAACTCACACAAGAACACGATTTTACACGTTACTTTGCATGCAAGAAAAGTCACAGTTGAAGAGTGAAAGCAATTAGGAACAACACGAGTAACACTTAGTTATAAAGCTACCGTTGTTTTCAGGTGATATGTCTCTGGTCCGAAGGTGATGGTTGTCTCCATAGTCACTTTAAATGAAGAGAAGCATAAAACGTTTTAAGTCTGGGGCTTTCATTGTGAGACAAACACGGGTCCTTGCGTATTTATGTATTTTATTCAACAACTGATGAAGGCTTCAAAGTTTGGATTAACCTTTTGGCTGAATCTTTATTCCCCGCACGTAAAAACTCGCGTAATTCCTTCAACTGATTGGTATCTGCCATCATTTTCGCGGCAAATGAATAGCATATGATGTGGAAGTACGCCTGCGATCCCAGTTTCGGAAGAAGCCGCTGAAACAATATGGCGCGCCGTGGCATGAACGCAGTATCGACGTGTCGAAATACATTCAATTTTTGCGATTATCTTGTAATATTCAGACATTATTTTACTGGGGACGGAAAGGTGAGTTGTATACTAGCTACCAAATCAGATTGATTTCCTAATATAAAGATTTAAAAACAAAGTTGTATCGTGGTTTTCTTTACTTATCGGACAAAACGCAAGTCGCCAGCTGGCGACCAGTTCTGAAAATTTAGTCGCCAGTGCTCAAGTTTTGGTCGCATTGGCGACCAGTGAGTCGCAATTTCGAGCCCTGGATAAGAAGAAATAATGATTTCTGTTCATTTTTCATGCTTAGTTTTCCAGCGTTTTGGTATTTTTTTTGGGAGGGGGGAGGGTGGGGAATTTTGGATATTTGATGCATTTTTTTGTTAAATCAAAGGGCTGGTCAGGAGCTCTGTACATGTACATGTGCATTACATGTGATTTTAACAACCTTTTGTTTCTGGTCAAAAAGATAATATTTATGATCTCCGGGCAGATTTCGAGCATCTCTGCTGTGACTGGCATCTGGCATCTGGCATCTCTGTTGTGAGTGTGATTTCCTGTATTCAGCAGTGCAGTCTGCTTTCTGTAAATTTTACTGGAAACAGTTTCCTTTCACCTGGAAATAAATCTCTTTTTAATTTTCTTGAGTACAGTGGAAT